CCCCAGCCAGGGCCAACCCACCACATGTAGGGACTAGACATGTTTCTAACCAAATTTATTTATAATTCCCAAATGCATTCCCCCCAAAAAGTGACCCAACAATGACTAAAATATAGGATTCATTATAGGATCCCAGGAGGGAATGATCTTGGTTAAGTGCAAATTACGACCAAAATAGCAAAGTGCAAAAGAGATTACAGTTTGAATTTCTCATGGGCTATTTCGGGGGGGAGCAGTTCAGGAAACAAAAAAAAATTAGGTGCTAGACAAAATGTTAAGTAATTTTCTCTTTCAGTTCATATTCCATGCATTAAGTTTTAGGTGACTTTAAAAAACTACTAACTCCCCCAAACTAGAAGCATCAATTAGCAAAGGCTAAATATGGTGACTGGTCTTGAGCATCCTCGAGCTTGACAATTTCTACAAGCTGAAGAACTTGTGCTTTAAGAGAGGATGAGCAGGAACATCAGTAACCTCTCAAGAAACCTAAGCCTCCCTAAAACCACAAAGCAGTGTCTCAGTATAACCTCTGTTCTTAAACTGGAACAGGACAAACCTACAGTGAGGGAAAAGGTCACTAAAACAAGGGAGGGTTTTGTCTGTTTGTTTTTAAAGGAACATACAGTTTACAAACATCTGAGAGCCCAGTACAACAACTTCAGCCCCTTGGCTCAGTTAACTTTAAATCTAGTTTGCTAAAACGTACATTTACCACTCAACAACAAAAGACAAAAGAAAACCAGTGCAAAAATATTGAGCTAAATGAAAAGTTTGGGCAAACAGACCATAACATCTCATGCCATGAGGTATGCAGAGGAAAGACGTGTCGTATTCCCGGGGCTGGAGCTGGGGCCCGAGGGTCAGCCCAGCCTCCGGCCACACAGAGCATCCCCCCCACCCCGCACACCTCCCCAGCCCGGCACCAAAAGGGTCTTTTTTCAAATTCCAGGGTTGATCAGTGATTTTCAGAGACTCCAGGAGGGAAACTAAAAACCCATAGCCTAAAAATCCACCACCAGCTAAGACTGACCAAACATAGGAAAAAGCCAGTAAGCAAGTGGCATTTACAACTAAGAAGTAGTTTCTGATGGTGGTCACGCTGGTGTCCGAGCAAGATTAAACTAAGAAAAGCGAGGGGAGCAGGCCGTACCCCAGGGCAGACCGCGGAGGAGCCGCAGAGGAACACAGGCTTGTG